TTTTTTTATTTAAATAGCCCATAATTATATAATCTTTTAACATATTTAGGGGAGAGTCTCCAGTTGTGACACCTCCAGTTGTGAGACAGTCAATTTTTTTTAACATGCAATATTAAAAAGCTGATTGGTTTATATAAAAACATTTCTTTTTATATTTATTTATTTATATTTTTATTTATAAAAATAATTGAATTTTCGCAAAGAAGTTTACAATTTATAACAAGCTGTAAATCCAGATGTTCATTACATGAACATTTTGCTTCCTCTTTACGATCATCAAAAAAAATTTGCTTCCTCGTAGAGGAAGCATTAACTATAAGTATATTTAATTTTTAAATCAATTTAACATTTATAAAATAAAGTTCATTCGTCTTAATAGAAAGAATACAATTTTCTTATACAATTCGTTAAACCTCTTCGAGTTATCGTGTTCACAAAAATCGGGATCCACACACACACATACATCCGGACAATTGTTCAGGGTCTTATATAACATAGTCCTATATGGGCGAATCTCTGGAACTTTTAACCTTTATGTCCCTCACATTATTTTCACTTAAGGTAGTAGTCGCGCTGCTGGCTCTGGCCAAAGGTTTACCGGGCCGCTTACTAGAGTGGGGCAGTGAGAGTGAGAGAGACAGTTTAACTCCCTACTCTATTCGTTCGTATGAAAATTCGTATAATTTAGTTATTTTTTTAACTTTCTGTCAATATATTTATAGTTTGGTGCGGTCAAAAAATGTCATGTTTTTTCTATTCATTTGTTTCATCTAATTGAATGCTTTGGTAGTTTTATTTCAAAATCTGACGATTAGTTATCATATAAATAATTATTAAACAAAATTAATACATGCATTGGGTGCTCCCTCCATGCAAAATGTATGAACTTTGAATTCATTTTTTTAAGCTTTGAAACGGTCAAAATTAATGAAATTGGTCTCATTCTGTAGATAAATACTTCAGGAATAAGTATGCAAAATTTGAAAAAAATCTGACGAAAACCATTTTACGCGACTAATACCTTAAACAGCCTAAATATAAAAACTAATGATTTTTAAATATTTACATGTTTTTAAAAAAGAAAATAAGGATTACGATTTAACCATTGATATAAATTATTTTGTTTATTTTTTCTATGTTTTTCTTTATTAAAGTTCACAATACCATGATTTTGCAAGTGTCACTTTCACTTTTTCTAAAAGTATTTTAACTCTTTAAATAAGGTTTTTTTGGAAAACACGTTTTTTACTGTTATAAACTATTATAAATATCTTAATAATTCCATAAACAAACTTAAAAAAATAAAAAGTAAAAATTAATAAAAGCTATAATCTTCTAAAAAGTGTCCCTCAGTTTTTGTGTCGCTGGTCAAATCAAAATGGTTTTATAAAATAAACATTAAAAAACTAAATGAAAAAATTTGAAATAAGAGGCACAATTGAATTGTAATTCGAATTTTATGTGCGTGATTTTTATTTTTATTTTGAACTATATTTTAAGCAATATAATTGTTGGATACTTGTGATACTGGTGTAGTACGGAAAATATGTCGCTGGTCAAATCATTAATTTCTCCAAAGTTTCTTATTTAATTTGCTCCAAAATTGGGGCACATATTACTTTAGATGTATTTAAAACTGTGCGTATGTTTTTATTTATTCTAATTCTTTTTTAATTATTTTTTTTACGTGGATATTCAAATTGTCGCTCGTCAAATATGTCGCTTGGTCAAATCAATCGTTTTCCAATCAATCTGAAGTTTCGCATTTATTTGTTCCATGTTATTTATCACGAAGTAACCAAAAATGTAATAAAAAGTGACAAAATGAAAGAAAATCAGAAAAAAGAAAATAAAAAGCGAGAAAAAGGAAACGCGGAATGAAAAATTTATCAAAGGAAGGCACTTAAGTAATATTTATTTATTATTTATTAAATGTTCATGAAACTGTTAGTGTTTCTCAAGGTTATATTAAGATCCTCGATATTTTTTCCAAAACAATTCAGCCAATCAAATAATTAGAAAAGTTCATGTTACTAATTCAAATAATTATACGTAAAAAATTTTCATTAAATTTTTTTATTGGGATTTTGTCCTTATTAGTTGTATTAAACGTTTATTATATTTATTTTCATGTTTATTTATGTTTTTGTGATACTGAGAAATAACTTACTTAAGTGTAGGAGATAAAATGTTTATGTATATCTTGTTACAGATTTAGATAACCTAACATTATTTTCTTTCCAAAAATTTATATTTTAAAATAGAAGGCAACCAAATAATGGTTGTACAGTAATAAAAATGAAATTTATTTTGGTCGAAGATATAATATTAAAAATATCAAAATTGTGCTCACAAAAATTTTTTTAAAAAAATTAAAATTCAAATGTTAAAGTTTTCAGAGATTTGCCCATATAGAAGAAAATTTGATTAAAGGATTTTTAAAAGTTTTGTAAAATAGACGACTACAAAGTTTCCTCCACGAGGAAGCAAAAATGATTAAATTGTTTAGAAGAATTTTTCACAAATTTTCAGATTGAATGTTTTGAAAAAATTTTATTAAAAATTTTGAAAATAATTGAAATTTTCCAAAGAATTTTGTTCTTTATGAAAATAATTGAATTTTATCAGAATTTTTGAATACAATTGAATGTTTCGAAAGAATTTTGTTAAAAATTTTGAAAATAAGTGAATTTAATCGAAAAATTTTATTAAAACATAAAAATTGAAAATAATTAATTTTTTTTAAAGAATTTTATAAGAACTGTTGAAAATAATTGAATTTAATTAATCAGGGTGTCTAGCGAATCGTCAATTTAAAATTCCCGGGTTTTTCCCGGTTTTTTCCCGGGTTCTTGAATAATTTTCCCGGATATTCACAAAGGATTTAAAAACATATTTAAATGTTTATCAATAACATTATTTACGTAATTAAATATTGTTTTTATTAAATTACAATGATTAAAGTTATACAATAATTTCTAAAAACTTGACATAGAATATAAAAATTTCACTTATAAAAATTTCTCAACTTTATAATATAATTGTCAATTCAGGGGAATTTAAGAAAAACTTTTTTTGAAAAAAAAAATTCCGCTCGGTACATACATTATACCCTTTGAAATACTTGTAAAATTTAATTAATTTCTCAAACCATGAATTGCACATTATAATGTTTACATAGAATTAAACTAGAATATTTAAGCTTTATTTTTACATAAGTTTCAAGAAAATCGGATGCGACGTGTTTTGAGATATTCAAAAAGGTTATCTTTCAAACTTAATTTTTTTCATAAATTCTATTATTTAAAAAAAAAAATTTCTACCATTATAAAGTTGAGAAATTTTTGTTTTAAAACCACTAATAGTAAATAAAGTTTGGCTTCAATAAATATAAGAAATAATGATTTAAAAATTGCCTTACAATGTCAATTGTTTATAAGGAGGATCGTTTTGAAATGGAATGCCCCGTATTTAGTTTTAAAAAGTAAAATCTTTGCCTTTCCTATATCACAGAAGATTCTCAATTTCTTCTTATAAAATTTGTTACGTATTGTATACCTATAAATTGTTATATAAAAATAATAATAGTACAAATCCTTTAACTTTTATAATATAACCTATACTAAAGTTAGTTTTAAATAAAATTTAAGTTATTATTTTTACTACTGCTTCATACTATCAATTTACCCTTGACGATTTTGAAAAAAATTATAATTTTTTATATACATAATTCAAAAAATACCCTATAAATAGAAAATTCCCGGGTTTTTCCCGGTTTTTTGAGGTCGAACCAAATTCCCGGGTTTTTCCCGATTTCCCGGTTCGCTAGACACCCTGTTAATATTTTAAAAAATAATTGTATTCTTCAGAAGAATTTTCTTATTAATGGAAATAATTGAATTCCTCCAAAGAATTTTATCAAAACCAAAAATTCTAATACACTCGAATCTTGATATAAATAACGAGTCTCGATATAACGAGCTCTTAATACAACGAACTGTCAACTCTCGTTACAACGAGAAATATTTCTCCTCTTTTATCCCCACTATTTGAAAACATTTGAGCATCGTTTTTTTTGCACATGACATTAATTACAGTTACTCAACTTCACACAAATAAATTGTTTAAGAGTGGGGCCCCCTCACGCAGTCGTTATATTGAGATTTTCGGATCCCTCACTTCTCGTTATATCAAGATTCGAGTGTACCTACTTCAAAACCCCTCGAAAAGTTAATAATTAATTTTCAATTATTTTGTTTTTTTATGTTTAGTTTAAGCTACTAAGAAGTGTAAGGATATAGTCGTAGGTAATGTGTGTTGTCTGTTTGTTTGTGTACAGAATAATTGTTTGTGTGTGATTGTGACCAAAATTTTAAAAGGAAAGATAAGAGTAGTCTGTACTTCGGAGTGCGTGCGAACGGTTGGACTTTTGAAATTACCTTACAATAAATTATATTCATTTTAATTGTTTTGTTTTAATGTGCCATCCTCTCACAGAAGTTAGAATTTAGTTTTTGAACTAAAAGAAATTTATTCCTACACTGAGAGACCTTTGGGACTGTAGCGGAACAACGTATGTGACAGCAGCTCCACTATGGTTTTGGGTTGCTGCGGTACAATTTTGGGCGCGTGACAGTCCAAAATGTTGGTGAACAGCTCACCGAAGTAGTGGGGATGCCGCCTTTGGTTTGCAGCAAAACAAGTTTTGGACTATCACGCGCCCAAAATTGTACCGCAGCAACCCAAAAGTATAGTCCTGTAGTGTTCCACCAAAATGGTCAGTAGCAGCCTATCGAAAGTCTGCTGCCGACCCAAAGGTCTCTCAGTGTAAGGGTTAGGAATAAAGTTAAAGCGTGATACTTAGCTGACCCCCCTCCCACCCCTAAATGTATCACGTAATATGTGAATGACCCCTTAAGAGAAATTTCGCCAAATTGGAAAATAAAAAATGATAGGGCCACGATTGGTCAAATTCAATTCATAAAACAATTCTTGCTTACTTGAAATGCTTGTTCGAAAGTAGTCACGGGATTTGGAACTTTTAAATCTTTTATCTCAACGTCATTATCGAACATAAGCTTCGCCTCAATATTGTTGTTTGTCAACCTAAAATTGTCAACTTCTTCCTTCGTCATGCTCGCAACTTTTGGATCCTCTTTATAAAAATACTTTTTCAACGATGGCAACTTTGCCCACCTTTCCTTCTGCGCTTGTTCCTAGAAAAAAGAAAAAAATCGAATCTCTAATTTTCGTTGCTTATTAGTAGAGATGTGCAAAAAGCTCGAATGGCCGAGCCGAGCCCGAGCTGGATAAATGTATCGAGTACTCGGGTAAATTCGATAACTCGAGTGAATTCGAGTACTCGAATGAATTAAAAAAAAAACTATTAATAAGTAGTAAATTTCGAATTTATGCGAATTACTGAATCAATAAAGTAAATAAGTCTTCAATTTCAAAGTGCATTTCAATTTGCTAATTATAATATATGTGAAGATTATATGAATTTTCTTTAGAACTCGAATTTACTCAAGAGCTCGAGAAATTCGAGTACTCGATCATATCATACGAACTGATTAGGCTCGGCTCGGCTCGAAAAATGAAAAGCTCGATCAAACTTTAATCTTTTTGCACACCTCTACTTATTAGTAAAATTACAATCGCTTTAAAATTGAATAATTTATAAATTAAAAGGTTGATTTTAGAATGAGAATTCCTTCATTTTGTTCCTTTGAGAATCTATTAAAAAAAAAAATTATCTACCAGTTCGAAATAAGACAACTTTTTCTTAATAAAATAATTAAATAATAAATATTTAAATTTATCATTCGGTCGTCTTAGTTAAAAGAAAAAATTTGATAAACAAAAATATAATTGTGAGAACTTACGTATAATTCATTAGCTTTCGACCAGTCGAAATTGGAGAAATCTATTTCATTTGGATCTTTTGAGTCCTGCTGAGAAGTTTGATTACTTTCGGGAGATTTGGGTCGTTCATATTGTCGCTGTGAACTTTGATAATTATTCGAATCGGATTTTCGCGAATTCTGATAACTATCGGAATCGGATCGTCGTGAATTATGAAAATTGCCAGAATCGAATCGTCTTGAATCGTCTCGAGAGCCATGTGACTGATAACGATCGTCACTGTTTCTTTCATAATTCTTCGTGGAAGAATTTGATCCACGCTGAGGAGAATAATTAGAAGATCTGAATGACGGCGATTTCGATGATGATCTTCGTGATGATTGATTATTGTAATTTCGTTGCCCACGTTCTTGTGGTGGATTCATTCCAACATTCATGAGATCATCAATAAGTTGTTTTGCACTTATTTTCGCATCTTCAGCACCGGACAATGTCACAGACACTGTTTCGCTTGATCTGTCACCGTCGATCTGAAAATTTAATATTTATTATATTTTCATCTTTTTTGTGTAAGAAACAAGGGTCTTTAAAAGAATTTTAATTTTTTCTCACCGAAATTCGACATCCGCTTTGATTTTGAAGATCCTTTACGGTTGAGCCGCCTCTACCAATAAGTTTTCCAATTCTGAAGGTTTGAATTTGCAAAATGAGGTCTTCTGTACCGTCTGATGTGCTAAACTGTTTAGACTGACTGTAATTACTTTCAGAATTATATTGAGAGTTTCGACCGTACTGCTGTCTACCAGAGTTTGAATTTTCAGAATCATTATTTTGTCTTGACTGATTTTGCCGCCCGTAATTACTATTATCATCGTCTCGTCGTCCACGTCCTAGAGATCGACCTCCTCGGCCTCTTCTATCATCATTTTGTCTCCTATCATTATAACGCGACTGATTTGTAAATTCTCTTGAATACGATCGACTTTTCTTCGAATTATAATCGTCCTCGCTTTCCCAACTTTCAGACATTCTGGAAATACAACAAAATTATTCATTTTTTTATAATTTATAAATCATACATTCAGACCTCGGATCGACTTCAAGACGCAAAAAGAAGTCGAAAAATTATTATCTAAATTCAATTATTTAAAACTTCTTTCTTTTTTCACAGGAAATAAAATTTTAAAAATATGAAATTTAGTACCTAACTTCTAAAAATTACTTCCGAAATTCAATTATTTTCTACAATTTTTATCTAAACTTCGTCTCTAAATCAATTATTTTTAATAGTTTTTCCGAAGTTCTTCAAAAATTTAATTATTTAAATACAAAAATTAAATTTTTTATAAAAATTGTAACTGTCCATGTTTTTTTTAAACTTCTTAAGATATATGTATTTGAAAAAAAACTATAAAAAGTTTTAAAATTCATTTTTTGAAAATATTTTTAAATAATTTTTGAAAGATATTTTTAAATCAAATTCTTATTAAAAGTTTAACGAGAATTCAGTTATTTGAATACAAAAATAAGTAATTGATAGAATAATTAATTATTTCTTAAAATTAAATTCTTATAAAGAATTTTAATAACATTTTATTAAAACTTTAAAGAATAATTTAATTATTTCTTTAAATTAAATTCCTATAAAGAATTTTAATAACATTTTATTAAAATTTTAAAGAATAATTTAATAAAAATTGTATTAAAAATAAATTTATTACTGTAATAAATTTTAATTTTTATGAAACAAATTAAATTTTTTTGAGGAATTTTATAAAAATTATATTGAAAATAATTAACTTCTTTCAATGAATTCTATTAAAATTTTGAAAAATAATTAAACTTTCGAGGAATTCAATTAAAATTGCATTGAAAACAATTGAATTTTTAGGAAGATTTTTATTAAAATATTGAAAAATAATCAAATTTTTCCAAAATACCTATTGTATTAAAATTTAAAAAAAATAATTGAATTTATTCGAGAAATTTTATTAGGTAGGTATCTAAGATAAGAATAATTTCTTTCAGTAAATTTTATTAAAATGCTTGTAAATAAGTGATTTCATTGAAAAAAAAATTTTTTTCCAATTATATTTAAAATAATTGAGTTCTTGTGAAAATTTAATTATTTATTAAAATAACTGAATTTTTGTGAAGGATTTTATTAAAAATTGTAAAAAATTTTAATGTTATTATTTTTTATATATGTAAATTGAATTTTCAGAAATAATTATGTAATTCAATTTATTGAAAAGAATTGAATTTTAAAAAAATGTTGAATGAAAAAACTCTAATTACAAAATACGATATTATCAATAATTTGTTAAATTATTATTTAAATAAATATTAATTAAATTTAATCTAAAACGAACACAAGAGTAAAGCTAAACATCCAAGGACAACTAAACAAAAACGAAAGAATTTGAAACTCTAGCAGAGCATGAATCATAATTCTCAGAAATTATAGATTAAATGTATTTATCGCTGTCACAGTGAAATTTGTACCTAATAAAACTAAAACTAAAACAGAAATCAAATTAAAATGACCTAAAAGCCAAGAAGAATTTTTTAAAAATTTATATTATATAAATAAAAATGCAAACAAATCGATAACTAACTTGCGCTTCAGTTTTGTAGGTTAAATCCTGTACAGGTTAAATGAAAAATTAATTTTTATTTCTCCCGGATTTTTAGGATTTATTTATGCAAACTAATTAAACACTTTTTGTATGATCAAATCGGTGAGTGGAAGCAATTATAACTGTTCAAGAATAAACGTATTCACTGGTATTCACGAAGTTGGCTGATCGACCAGCAATATTCAACACAATTTACAAATGGCCGTTTGCACGCTTCAAAAATTTACAATAAAATTCCTGAAAAAAAACTTGAAAAATTAATCTAAACAAATTTAATCCAAACATATCTACAAACAAATTTAAACAATATAAACAATACGTCAGATATATTAATATAGATTTATATTTATAGAAAAATTCTTCCGATAATCAACAAAACTGCATATTTTTTGTATAAAAAAACGAAAAAAATCACGAGACAAGTTAAAGCCGGTAAATTATGATTTATAACAACAATATTGCAAAAAGAAATACGTTTTTTATTGATTACCTTATTTATTTATCGGGCAAAGTTTCGAATCAATAAATATCTTTTACAATTAAACAAAGAAACAACTTTAAAATAATTTTTTTTACAACGATGAAATTACTTTTCGTTTCACATGCTCTCGAATTTTCGATAAAGATGAGATGGGTATGTAAAGCAGGGATGTAAACCTAACATAAGGCCCTTTGTTGCGTAAATCACGTAAAAATGTGTTCGACTCGTTAAATTATCCCAGGCGGCACACTTCACGTTTTAGGGCCAGTTTCACCAACTGGCGGTTAGGCCGCAGTCCCATGGCAGCGTTTTGCGTTGCGTTGTGTTAGGCTGGAGTCCCATGGTAGCGTTTTGCGTTGCGTTTTGTAACTAGGCCATGAGTGTGAGAGAGATACAGATATATGTTTTCTCTATTTGCACTCATTGCCTAGTTACAAAACGCAACGTATAACTCTACCATGGGACTCCAGCCTTAAGGTACACTCTCACCTCTACGGCTGGAGTCCCATGACAGCGTTTTGCGTTGCGTTTTGTAACTAGGCAATGAGTGCAAATATAGCAAACATATATTTTCATCTCTCTCACACTCATGGCCTAGTTACAAAACGCAACGCAATACGCTGCCATGGGACTCCACCCTACTGCCTGCCTGCCTGCGCAGGCAGGCAGGCAGTAGAGGTGAGAGAGAAAAAACATTTAATTTGAATTTTCTGACTCTCTTACTCTTATGTGTTACCATGTCAACCTGCAGGCAGTAGGAGCTGTGCTAGCGCCTTTAAGGCCAACGCAGAATAGATCTTTAACCGGAACCGCAATCGTAACCGTTAAGGCCAACGCAGAATAGATCTGTAACCGGAACCGCAATCGTAAGCGTAACCGTAGGAATGAGTTAGAGAAGGATAAACAATATACCTATCCTTCTTTAACTCATTCTTACGGTAACGCTTACGATTGCGGTTCCGGTTACAGATCTATTCTGCGTTGGCCTTTAGCGTAAGAATGAGTTAGAGAAGGATAAACAATATACCTATCCTTCTTTAACTCATTCCTACGGTTACGCTTACGATTGCGGTTCCGGTTACAGATCTATTCTGCGTTGGCCTTTACGAGCGACTACCATCTCGCTCGTTAACTTTCGATATATCGATTCACGAGTTATCGAAGCGCGAAATTATAATATTTCGTTAATAAACTTAATTATTTTTAGTATTTTCTCACGACTTTAGACAAATATTGACGAGACTAAACAAGAAAGTTTGACTATTGTAAAATATAATACTTCACGGTTTAATAGTTTCCAAATTCTGAATATGTATTTGAAAATCAACATTTCTTAGAATTGCCATAAATCAAGGGGAATAGCGAAAGAAAATGTAATCTCTAGTTTCTTTAGAGTCATAAAACCGAGAAACTCTTGAAAGAATATAAAAAATACCTCAAGTGTCCTTTTCCATAGGACAATGCAACATGTGTTTACCATACTTGTGACCACAGAAATGGCTTCGAAAAGTCACGTACACATAGGGCGGTATTCATAGTCCCGACTTAAGCAAGGACTTAAGCTTTGCTTGATCAAGTCGGTCTTATTCGAATGAGTCGAGCTTAAGACCGTATGAATTCATAGTCAAAAATAAGCAATTGCTTGGTAAATGCCAACGCAGAATAGATCTGTAACCGGAACCGCAATCGTAAGCGTAAACGTAAGAATGAGTTAGAGAAGGATAGGTATATTGTTTATCCTTCTCTAACTCATTCTTACGCTTACGGTTACGATTGCGGTTCCATTACAGATCTATTCTGCGTTGGCCTTAAAGGAAATGCAGCTTAAGAACTTCTTGACCAAGCAAATGCTTAAGATGATCTTATTGAGCGTTCGGCTTTTTCCGTCAATATTCTCTTGTATCTACCAATAAGCGATAGTAGATAGCTTATATTCATTAGAAAAAATGACGCTAATGCACATAAAATATCTGATAAGGGAGAGGAGGGGGGGTCAAAAAATCTGAAAAATATGCATATTTTAATATTTTTAGGATAAAAGTTATAAAGTAAAAGGATACAAGAAATGACTACCAGAATGATGAAAAATTGAAATATTCTTATTTCTCACGAAATATTATATTTAGATTCTAAATTTTTCTGTATTAAAAAATAGAAAAAATTATTTTAACTATTATTATATTGTTTCTAAAAAAAATTATTGAGTCAGAATCAGTGAAATTTTACAAAAAATAAGGAGTATTTTTATAATCGAAATGAAAAAAAGCATTTTTATTTGGCCATTGTCTCTAACAAACAAACGACAGAAAAAATTTTGTTTAAAAAAAGTTATTGTAAAATGAATTTTTTTGCAACTTTTTATAAAAAAATCTTATTTTTCCTAAAACAATGAACCAAGAGTGCATATAAAAGGGGTAAAACAATTAACTTTCATTTGGAACTAGAAAATTTTTAAAAATAGTATTTTTTAATAATTATTTAATATTAACAGTTTTATTTCCTCATAGGGTGTCGATTTTCTTAGAATCAATTATTTTTACAAATTTTCAAGTATATCGTATATAAATATTTCAACATGGGGAACAAATTCTCCGGATGTATGTGTGTGGATGCATATCGAAATGTTTTTTCAACATTTCGATGAAAAAAAATACTTTTTATTTCTCGTGAAAATTTAAGTCATGTAAAACGTTGACTTAAAATCATAACCTCAATTCGTTCAAATAAGTTCACCGGCAATGTCAAATAAGATCATCTTATTTGACTATGAATACTTGTCATTCTTAAGATGGGACTATGCATCTCAAAATCGAAGCATTTACTTTGTCAAGCATATGCTTAAGTTGCGGCTTAAGGCAATGCTTATTGCACGTAGGTGGCAGCTTAAGTCGCTGCTTAAAAAATAAGTATCGACTATGAGCGGTATTCATAGTCGATACTTATTTCTTAAGCAGCGACTTAAGCTGCCACCTAGATTCATAGTCGTGCAATGAGCATTGCCTTAAGCCGCAACTTAAGCATTTGCTTGGAAAAGTAAATTGTTCGATTTTGAGATGAATAGTCCCATCTTAAGAACGCCAAGTATTCATAGTCAAATAAGATGAACTTATTTGACATTGCCGGTGAACTTATTTGAACGAATTGAGGTTATGATTTTAAGTCAACGTTTTACATGACTTAAGTAATTACTTATTGTCTTTTTATAAATATTTATAATAAAAATAAAAAGATTTTTGATTAAAAACAATTTAATAATAATTTAAATTTAATAATTTAAAAAAAAGGTTCAAAATTTATAAAATTTTCACGAGAAATAAAAAGTATTTTTTTTCATCGAAATGTTGAAAAAACATTTCGATTTGGCCTTAAGAATGTGTCTACCAAATAAATGCATCCACACACATACATCTGGAGAATCTGTTCCCCATGTTGAAATATTTATATACACTATACTTGAAAATTTGTAAAAATAATTGATTCTTAGAAAATCGACACCCTATATGAGGAAATAAAACTGTTAATATTAAATAATTATTAAAAAAATATTATTTTTAAAAATTTTGTAGTTCCAAACGAAAGTTAATTGTTTCACCCCTTTTGTATGCACTCTTGGTTCATTGGTTTAGAAAAAAAAGATTTTGTTCAAAAAGTTGCAAAAAATTCATTTTACAATAACTTTTTTTAAACAAAATTTTTTCTGTCGTTTGTTGGCGTTTAAGAGAGACAATGGCCAAATAAAAATGTTTTTTTTCATTTCGATTATAAAAATACTCCTTATTTTTTGTAAAATTTCACTGATTCTGACTCAATAATTTTTTTAGAAAATAATAGTTAAAATAATTTTTTCTATTTTTTAATACAGAAAAATTTAGAATCTAAATATAATATTTCGTGAGGAATAGGAATATTTCAATTTTTCATCATTCTGGTAGTCATTTCTTGTATCCTTTTACTTTATAACTTTTTTCCTAAAAATATTAAAATATTATGCATATTTTTAAGTTTTTTTTACCCCACTCCCCTCCATTATAAGATATTTTATGTGCATTAGCGTCATTTTTTCTAATGAATATAAGCTATCTACCATCGCTTATTGGTAGATACAAGAGAATATTGACGGAAAAAGCCGAACGCTCAATAAGATCATCTTAAGCATTTGCTTGGTCAAGAAGTTCTTAAGCTGCATTTCCTTTACCAAGCAATTGCTTATTTTTGACTATAAATACATACGGTCTTAAGCTCGACTCATTCGAATAAGACCGACTTGATCAAGCAAAGCTTAAGTCCTTGCTTAAGTCGGGACTATGAATACCGCCCTATGAATACCGCCCGATGTGTTTATAGGAACTAGCGCAGTCGACGGCCGCAAGCGGCCGTCTCCTTTGCCGTTCTCTGCCATTTCTCAATACAGTTCCCTGCCTAATTTTTAATTAATTACAATTTTTCTTTTTTCTTTGTGAATTTGATATACAATTAAACTTACACAAACATATAAGCGTAAGGCATATGAAACTGGCGAACGCTAAGCATTAAATAGGGAATTATCTTTAACTGTTCTACGCCATTTCTAAATTTAGTTTGCTACCTAATTTTGAATTAATTCTAATAACTTTAATTTCATTACATTTAAATATAAGATTTAAACTCCTGCCCTATTATAATTATATTCTTTGTTACTATTATTAATAATTATTTATTATTTTCAATAATATTGATTTCAATTTATTTATTCTAATTTCTTTTTTAATAAACATAAATTGATAAATATATACCATTTGTCTAGTTTTAATTATCTGATGCAACATTTAAAACGTGATAGAAATGTTGCTGCAAGGTTTAAACCCGATTTTTTTAAATGTCTTTTGGCTAATTCAGCTTTCGAATAATTGACATTTCTAACAGGTTAGGTTTCGACATGTTGATCTTTCTAAACAGGGAGTATAGACATGGTATAGACTTAAGGAGACCAATGTAGTGTGTATGAAATCAACCATTTTATGTCGGAAGTTCATGGTTCTGAATCTTCTCGTATAGCGCGCAACGATCGCATAGATAGCTGAAGTTTTAAAATGAATTAACATGGATTTCTATAAGTTTACTAATTCATGTATATACTATATATTCAAATTATAAATATAAATATAATAATAATAAGATAACAA